ATTTCTTAGTCTGATCTTAAATCCTCGACCAAATAAACCAGTTATCAGGCAGTGCCTGCCTGATAACTATTTATTATTAGTGCATATTATTTATCATTAGATATAACTAACACTAAAACCAAATAATGCAGAATTTTCATGTGGCACCTTCTGAACTGGAATCGATTCCACTTACACATGATACAGTATTAGATGCAGCAGTGATAGGATATTATTCTGAAAAATAAGCAACCGAACTTCCAATAGCTTATGTCCCAATTAAAAACGGATATGAGCAATCTCAAGCTTTAGCAAAAGAAATTCAATCTTTTGTAGATGAAAAGGTCATGCAACATAAAAATTAAGAGGTGGTGTATTGTTTATTAATAGAATTCCAAAAAATAATATTGGTAAAATTCAAAGAAGGTTATTAAGAGAGAAATTAAAAGATGATGTTAAAGAATGATAAAATGAATTAGTTTATAAGTCTTTTAAACAATTATTAAGTGACATTACTTTATATCAATATATATATATATTATATCATAAGAATTAAAAATTTATGCTATTTCATGAGTTATGTTAAGATTTTAATAAAACATCGATTCAGACAATTTAAAAAAAAGAAACATACAAACTAAAGAACTATTTAAATTTATTATCTTTATTAATGTCATTAATAAATATGAATTATGTATTATTATCATGGTCTATTACATTAAATCTCATTTGTCCGCATTAAAAATCACTCAATCTTCTCTCAGGTAAAAATTGAAAATGACATACCATAAAGTGCTGACTATAGTTTATACTAGAGAAGATTCATATTATATCTCTAAGAAAATGCTCAGCATTGAAGACTAAGTTGGATGAAAAATATATCTCAATTCTTTATAAAAACTCTAATACGTTCAGTCAGCACCTGACGGTTTGTCAATTGACAATTGAAAAATGGCACGCAACATATTTACAGTATTAATTGGTTGAATTGATGCCACTAGGAGGTTTCAGACCTAAGGTTCAGGTTTCTGATTTCAAATTAAATTAGTGACACATTAATTTTGTAATCAGTGATTTATAAATCTTATTTATTTCTTTGCAAGCATATGGACAATGTTCAGTAGAAAGGGGAAATCTACTTTTTGGCTAAAAAATTTTATCAGCTCATTAAAACAAGCACAATCAGTTATATAATTCTAATCAAAAGTTAAATTAGCTGGTTTAATTTTTTAATTTTTACATATGACCTTTACCATCTAGTTTTTATTAAAAGGTCTAGTGTGAATTGTAAAAGCCGATCACAATAAAGTCACGTGAAGGATAGACAAAACTTTTACATGTACATATAACTCCTCGCTACGCTACAGTGTTTCGGCTAAACCGAAACTTTGCCCGGCCGAAACCTCCGAAACATAGTTTCGCCAGAAGTCCCAAATCCGAAACTTCCGAGACCTCCGAAATTGGGCGAAACCTCCGAAATGGGCGAAACCTCCGAAACGGGCGAAACTTCAAATACTTCCGAAACAAATAGCCAATAAAATACGAAAATTTTCGGATCATGTGAAAAACACATGCATAAATGAGTATAAAGTTACATCCGATACTAGGCGAAACTGGCCGAAACCTCCGAAATTGGGCGAAACTGGTCGAAACCTCCGAAATTGGGCGAAACTGCCGAAACCTCCGAAAATGGGCGAAACTGGCCGAAACCTCCGAAATAAATTGGGCGAAACTGGCCGAAACCTCTAAAATTGGTGAAATTTCCGAAATTTTTCGAGTAGAATATCAAAGAACGTAAAATACGAGCAAGGTGGAGAGAAAAATAGAGGAAAAGTCCGAAATTTCCCGAAAGACAGAGAGTTTGGAAGGATGTTCAGAGGGTTTCGGAGGTTTCGGAGATTTCGGATTTTGGGCGAAACCGAAACGTTTCGGACTTTGGGGGAGGTTTAGGACGAAACACTGCTACGCTACAAACAATAAATATTGATTCATATATAGGATTATATATTGTGTGTCTTTAATAGTGAATTATTATTAAAAAACAGTATATTGTACATTATAAGTTAATTAGAAAACATATAAGTCTAACATATCCATTTAACGACGGATCTAACATCTAGGATTATATTCTCGGATCCAGAGCAATGCCTCGCGCAGCTACTTAACAATTTAAATTTTAAGTACAAATAAATCATCAGATTTCTTTTCATAGAGCTCTTTGACTTTATCTAATATATTATAATGTGTTAAAATTCATAATTAATATTAGAATAGGTTAAATATAAAAGTAATTACCTGAATCTATAATATTGGAATATTTATCAGGTAGTTGAACATCTGGAAAATTAAAGGTAATATCTAATTCTTGAAATTCAAATTCATTTTTGTATATTTTTTGTAAATTTTTCTTACAGAACTCGACAAGTTCCGATGCAGTTGGTCTGCGTTCGAAATCTGAATGCCAACATTTTGTCATCATTTCTATGTAATCTGAAGGCAACTCTGGAATGATTGCAGGGCGAAGGCCATTGCATATTTCCATTGCAAGAACTGAATCATAATCTCTATCAATAAATGGAGTACATTTAGTTATAAGTTGCCACATTATTATCCCTAAACTATATATGTCAACTGCTGTTGTATATTTCTTATTGAGTATAACTTCGGGCGCCACGTATGGTAATATTCCAAAGGCTTCAGATTCCTGAGGTTTATTTACAGGTCCACAAAATCCTAAGTCACTAATGCTCCATCCATTTCTATCTAATAAAATATTTCCAGGATGAAGATCTTTGTGAACTATACCATTAGCATGGATTGAAGAAAGAGCAGTAGAGATATCAAGTAATAAAAGATATCTTTCTCTCCAAGTAAAAGTAGTTTCTTTATTCTTCAAAAAATGTTTCAAATCGCCATCTTCACGATAATCTAAAATAATCATAAAATGTTTGCTTTCCGGATGTCTTGTTAATCCATAACAAGGAACGATATTAGGAAATGCAAGCGTAAGTGAAATATGGGTCAATGCCTAATATAAATTATTTTAAATTAAGAGTAACAGTATTATATTAGTATCGTCACAAACAATTGTCACTCATATTTTAGAAATGGAACAATAGATAAGATTTATTATCATAAGGGAAGTGTCATTTATTATCTGATTTTTTTAGCAGGGGCCAAAATATCATGCTAATAGATCACGTGTATATATGTTATGTAATCGTAATCATTTGAGGGAGGGAGAAATTTCACTATTTACAAAAAATCATCTGATAAATGACATTCCCTAAGTATCTAAACGGTAATTATTTTAATTTTTATTGATTATCTGGCGGAGTATAGATATTATTCAACTATCAGAGCCTGAAAATCTGACCAGCGTTGTTTTTATCGGTCTATCAAGTTATGCAATAATAATGATTAAAGTGACATATCCTTACGTTCATAAGATTTTCAAGGGTAGGTCTGATAAATTATAAGCGCAAACTCGAAGCGTAATTCTTTTCTTATGCAAGTATAGAAGTTCTCACCTCATTAAAAAAGCCATAATTTGCACAGTCGGAATTTTTCAAAGACTTTGTCTTTTTCCGGATCTTATAAATGTTTGATCATCTTCATTCCAGTCAACAATAGTTCCATCTTTCCAGTTTGCTATATGAACAATTCCAAAACCACCCTCTGCTTTTAACTCGACGCTCTGAAAGTTTTCATAAGGCACCCATTCAATTAATTTATTTGGTTGTTCACAATATTTGAGTTGAAAAAACCTAATCATTTCATCTATTTTAGTGTTTCCGGACGTCCATCTTGTGAAATTGTCTATAAGATATAATCGGATACACTCTGTGCAACAGACCTCTTTATAAACAATTGATTGACAATAAATGCATAACGAATCTAATGGGGTTTTTTTCACATTAACATTCCTAATTTTACAAAGTTCATCAATTATATACTCTTTTTCTTGAATAGAAAGCTGATGATGGTCTTGAATGAAATCAAATCCTTTTTCAAACGGTTCATTTTCTAAAGAGATAGACATTTCACGCACAACCTCATTTATAAACTCCAAGCGAATATTGGGATTATTATTAAATATTTGGTCCCTTAGTAAAATTGAAAATGTTATTAACCTTTTCAACACAATTGGATCAGAGATATGGTAAAAAATTAAATACTTTACATTTTAATGATTTTCAATGATTCTTGAAATATTATGAGAAAAAATTTATTATAAATATTCAAATATAAACAAGAAAATGGAACTTTTAATTATATTAGTATAACTTTTTATTAATAATTATAATTATATACGTATCGTTAATTTTGTGTTACGTTACGTGCACATAGCTGATTTGTAACATTTAATATCGACTTACACTGGGATCTCAACCTCATTATGGTCCAAATATAAACATACATGTCCTCTGTAAATGCAATACACTATTTCTTATTGCACATTTCAAAGTTTACCGTAACCTTAATGAATAACAGCAGCTGTAACTTACAAAACTATAAATTAGAACGATAAGCAAAAAACAAAAAAGAATTAATTTTGATCAAATTGATTACTAAAGGTCAGGTCATTCTCGTTATGAAGTGATCAGTTCTATTAATAAAAATTTATTAAACATTAACTATATTGAGAGTTTTATTAATAAATTCACATACTGTGTATAGAGAATTTTATATAGGCTTTAGTCTAACTTAATTATACCGAAATCTTAATTAGCCTACATTATTTCGATAGTTCACTATTGAGAATGATTTGTACGTATTTTAAATTTAAATTTAGTAACATAATTACTTTTTTTCAGAGGGAATACTAGGTTCATGAGTGACACCTAAATAAAGGACATTGTTGCCCAGAGATAGCATCCTTCACCCTTTACACACTAATTTCACTTGAATGCTAAAAGTCTTTTATAAAAATTATTTCACTAATCCTGCAACGTCTTTTTAATATATATCATCGCGTAAATCTATAGTTTATTGGAACGAAAATTGCGTTAGAACATCTTATAAGAGTAAGAATGGTTCCATAGGGTTGGAACAGTATAGTTATAGCCTTAACAAAGACTCGCGTGAATGAATTGTATCCAAAGAAGGACGACAAATTCCTTTGTTGGTGTTTCAGAATTAATGATTTAACGTCCGATTTTAGATAAAACGCTTACCGATGAATGTTTATCAATTTTATCACCGGATACGCCTATTTAATTTTCTGATTCGGAATTCTAAAAAAGAAAATAGGATCTTTTAAACTCCCACTTATTTTGAAAAAAAGTTAATTCTGAAACTCATTTTCCTACTTTCAAATCTACATGTCTCATTGATAAGTTGTTGAATAGGTAATACGAAGCTCGCCAAGTGAAACGACTAACTCGTGCCAAGTGCAGTACATATGTATATGCATAACAACTGGACAAGGCTGAAATAAGAGTTTTATTAAAAAGAGAACATTTTCAATTATCAATATAGTAATTTTGTAACATGCATTTTATTTGTACTGCAAATTTGGCTACTGGTGGCATAATTTACAAATATAATACTAATATAATATGTTAACGTTACATTGCATACCAACTGAAAAAAGCCATAAAAATTTACGTACGTACTGTATCTAAAAGAAAATAATTTATCTTTCGTTAATACTAAAAAAAAAAATAAAGTTTTATTTAAGATAGGATCATTTAGAGCACATGATAATGCCATATATAATAATGATACAAAAGAATATTCACTCGAAATGGGTGATCATACAAAAACTCCACTTATTACTTCTGGCATTAGTTCCTTAAATGAATATGAAAACAAAGCAATTGTTTTCACTGTTTCTTCTCCCGACATCGAAAAATTAGATAGATTTAGATATCTTTATTCTTTTTTACATTCTATGGTATGTGTCTAAACGATCCACGCTTACCATATTATTTGTACTATTTTGGAAAGCTCTACCATGAAATGAAGTGTTATGAACTAGCAATTGATGCTTTTAACAGAACATTAAAGCTTGAACCGGATAACATAGATGTGATAGCTTCACGTGGAATTTCTTTTTCAATGGTGAAAAAATTTAATGAAGCACTTGTTGATTTAAATAAAGGACTTGAATATAATCCAAATAATGTGGAGGCTTTAAAATATCGTGCTAATGTCTACATAGAGTTGGATAAAAATGATGAGGCCCTTACCGATTTAAATAGACTATTAAAAATTGAACCTAGCAGTATTCACGCATTGGATATTCGTGGGAATCTATATATTAAGCTAAATCGATATAATGATTCTTTAAATGACTTTAATAAGATACTGGAAATCGATCCAAATAACGCGCAAATTCAAACTAATTGTGGAGATGTTAATTATAAACTAGGAAACTATAATGAGGCACTATCAAATTTTGCCAAATCATTAGAAATTAGACCAAATGATAAAACTACTTTAGTACGTGCGAAAACTTACCGTATTTTAAATCGATATGATGAATCAACTTCAGATTTTAGTAAAATGAAAGAAATTGTATTACTGGAAAATAAATCGGAAACGATAACTCAGGAGGTTCAAAGTGATAAATTTCGCAACTTAAATCATTATGAACAATCTTTAAAGGTTTTTAACAATAATTTGAAAACTAAACTTAACGATCAAACAACTTTAATTCGTCGTGCAAACACTTTTCGTATGTTTAACATGTATAAAGATGCATTCATTGATCTAAGTAATAATTATAATGCATTTGCGTTACGAGTTCGTGGCGAAACTTATCGACAAATGGGTGAATTTGAAGAATCGCTTAATGATTTTAATAGAATCTTGGATACAGATCCAAACGATGTGGTGACTTTAAGACTTCGTGGGGAAACTTATCGCCAGATTGGTAGATATAATGAAGCTATTGCTGATTTTACTAAAGCATTAGAAATACAACCGAACAATAAATTTGCATTAGCTTCTTGTGTAAAAATTTACCATTTGTTTGAACAATATGAAGAATCTCTTATAATCTCTAATAAGGTGATGTCAAATGAATCATGTTATGATATTTCCTTATGTTTGAATGGATATACATACCATGAGATGAAGAGATACGAGGAATCTCTTTCTTATTTTACCAAATATTTGAAAATCAATCCCAATGATGCATGCGTTTTGAGTCATTGTGGCAATATTTATAATATATTAAGAAATAATAAAAAAGCTCTTGTATATGACGACAAATATTTAGAAATTAAATCAAATGAAGCATTAATTCCTATTTTAACGGCAGAAGATAATCACTTCTGGAAACGAAAGGATTCTGAAGATCCTCTTTATCACTTAAATGAGGCCTTGAAAATAGATTCTAACTATGTTCCTGCATTAGTAAAACGGGCAGAAATTTACCACGGACGTAAACAATACAATGAATCACTTGCAGATTTAAATATAGCATTAACAATTAGTCCAAAAAATTTCCAAGTTTTGAATTTACGTATATTAAATAATTTAGCGATTAAGAAGTTTGAGGAAGCAATTAAAGACTCGACAGAAATGTTAGAAAGATATCCAGGTCGTACAATTGGTTGGGTCTTTTGCGGACTTGCTCATCAACTGCTTTTGAAATTTGAAGATTCGCTCAGGTATTTCAACAAAGCATTAGAAATTAAGCCAAATGAAACATTGGTTCTTACAAATCGGGGACGCAGTTATTTTTATCTGAAAAGATATACTGAATGCATTGAAGACTATAATAGAGCGTTAGAAGTCAACTCAAATAATACAATTACTTTAGGTTTTCGTGGGGATGCATATTACATAACAGGAAAGTACAAAGAATTTGCAGAAGATTATAGTAATTTACTAAAAATTGACCCAAATAGTACATTCAGTTTACTTAAACGTTCAGAGGTTTATTTCTCGATGAGAAAATTCAAAGAGTCATTAGTGGATACAAATAAGTTTTTAAAAATTTTCCCAAATTCGGTAAAGGGATTAGTTATTCGTGCAAGAATATATTATAAAATGGGATATTTTAAAGAAACCCTTATGGATTTAGATAATGCATTAGCTATTAACCCAGTAGATAAAACTGCACTAATATTTCGCGGAGCAGCGAATCATTTAATGGGGAGAATAGAGGATGCTATTATAGATTATATCAAATTGTTAGAAATTGATCCAAATAATATAGATATTTTAAGATGTTATGGTGAACATCACTTAAATACAGGAAGATACGATGAAGCGCTTGAAAAATTTAATAAGGTATTAGAAATTAACCCTAATGATAAATTAGGCCTAATGAATCGTGGGGAAATTTATCGTATGATGGGAAATTATGAAAAATCACTTACAGATTTCAATAAATCACTAGAAATTGTTATGAATGGTGTCAACGATGCATTTGCTTTAAGAGGCCGTGCAGTAGTTTACTTGAATTGTAGTTACTATGAAGAATCACTTGATGATTTAAAAAAATTCATTAGAAATTGAACCATTCAATGTATTTGCTTTGAGATATTGTGGAAATGTTTATCATAAAATGGGGAAGCACAAAGAATCAATCGAATATTTTGATAAATCTTTAGAGATTGACCCAAATAATTTTGCTACAATTGCAGATCGTGGAAGGGCTTATTTCGACATGAAGAGGTACAAAGAAGCGCTCGCAGTTTCTAATCAGCTATTGAAAATTCAGCCAAATAATGAATTTACCTTGGGATTACGAGGAGAGATATTTTTTGAGCTAGGAAAATACGAAAATGCACTTGAAGATTTAAATCGTGCATTAGAAACTGGATCAACTATATATAAAATACACTTTTTAAACACTCGCGGTAAAATATATCATGAGTTAGGAAGATATGAAAAAGCGCTTGAAGATTTTGATATTATATTAAAAATTGATCCAAAACACGAAATTGCAACAGAAATGAAGGAACAATTGAAAGTCCTAATCAAAAATTGAAATTATTAAAGATACTGTAGTATTTTAATTACATTCCAAAAAGTTTGGTAAATCCAGCTTATACTAACTAGAGATATTACAAGCTTGATCCA